GTTTGTATCCGATCCATATGTTACAAACCACCGATCATTGGATGTGAGAACAGGCCGCATCACTGGTCGCCTTGGAAGTGCAGGTCGATCACCAGGATGATTGTCGGATTCCGTCTCTTCATCCAGGATGTTCTTTGGTGCTGGCTTGACCTTGGAGACAAGCCTCAATGCTGGTGGCGGTGACTTTGGAACAAGTTTCGGATGCGGCATCGCCTTTGACGTAGGCCTTCCTGCGGGAGGAGGCAGTCTGATGTCTCATCTTCCTCATCACGAGCAGGGGATTCCTTCAACGGTGATGCCCGTCTCTTGATCATTGGCTTTGGCACAGGTGCCACGGCGCTGGATCGTCCGAAGATCATAACACGCGCATCACGGATTTGAGGAATTGAAAGTATGCAAAACGGAAAAACTCATGTCAGAATTCGTCGACATGCGGATCATGCCCAGGTTCCCCAATAAATACCGACTCCTGCCAAGGCAATGATGTCGGGTCCGTGCTTCGTGTTGTGTGCTAGCCACTCAACCAAAAATGCCTTGTTCTGCAACATGGTACGGAAGGGTGGATGTGCCAGACAATCTTCACTCCGTACATGTGCAAGGTCGTGCATCTGTCCACTGTTGCTTTCCTTTCTCAACATCTGGATCAAATGCATTGTTTCTTTCTGTTCCGGTTGATGTGTTGTGGATGCTGTGGTGACAAGATTGTTCGCATCAGTGCGGATGTGTACATCTGCAATTTCGCTCGTTATGTCTGACCAGAGGCCGCGAAGAAATAATGCTGAACCGTAACAACGCATTAGTCCGTGCAACTCTGCAACAGTAGTGGACATGGTTGTGGCGGTGATCTTGTGCGTCTCATAGTCGACCAGTGAGCCTCTCGAGTTCGATGAGCCCTGGCGAAGATCTCTTTGTTCTGCAAGAAAGATAACATGCGCACGTTGGGATGACTTGTCCTCGTCTGCCTTGCCAAGCCATGGAACATGATGAGGACACCATCGATGCCATCCACCACACCATAGCCAGAAGTTACTTGGATTTGGAAGTGATGTTGGAGGAGATGCACTTTGTCCTGCTCCGCATTAAGAGTCTGTGCAGCATTGTGGCCATTTGCCTTGTCATACTCGCGGCTTCTGAATGCATTCGTGCGCTCACGGCCCTGGGTGACATCGCCCAAATGGCCTTGGCCTTGTTGCCTTGAGCCACCTGGGCTTGTTTGACAGCCCTCGCCTGTAAAACAAGGTTGCAGAAGCCAAGCGGCGGAGTGAGGGGCGTTGCAACTGGCGACACCTTTCGTCGCCTGGTCGCCCGCACGGCGCTATGCGCGCCGCTTCGATGAGGCCACCAGGCCGTACCAGTTCGCGCTGCAAGCGCGAGCTGGGACGGATTGCCTGGCCGCTTTGCTTCGCGCTGCCACCGATCTCGACCTCGCAGCCACCGTCGTGTCTCTTGACGGGCGTTGCGCTTATGACTCGGTGTCCCGGGCTGCTTTCCTCGACAAACTCGCGGAAGTGACGCCTTCGCTTGTACCCTTTGTCCGTGCCTTAAATTTCTTGCCCCTAATTGAATCATTAGTTTTTCGATCATCTGGGCGGGGGCTGCCGCCCCCCCCAACCCCCGCCCCCTCGCTATTTTTTACATCTTACCCTTAATTGAATAGTCAGTTGTTCGATCACCATTGGGGGGCTGCCCCCCCCCCCCGCTCAGATGTTTTGCCTTAGTTGAATCATTATTTTCTTGATTATCATGGGTGGGCTGCCACCCCCCCCCCAACCCCCCCCTCTACTTTTAGATTTGTTGCCTTGAATCATCACTGTTTCGATCGTCATGCGGTAGCCCCCCCCAACTTCCCCGCCACTTCAAGATGTTTTGCCCTTAATTGAATTAATCATTTTCTGGATCATCATGGGGGGGCTGCTGCCCCCCCAACCCCCCGCTATTTTTAGATGTTTGGCCACAATTTGAATGCTGACTTTTTCGATCATCGTGGGGGGGGCTGCCGCCCGCCTCAATCCCCCCGCGACTTTTTAGATTTTTTGCACCCTCGCTGGCTTTTAGATTTCTTGCCCCTTACTTGAATCATCAGTTTTTCGATCATCATGGGGGGGGGGGGGGCTGCCGCTACTGATCCAGAAAGTGATGATTCAATTAGGGGCAAAAAATCGAAACGTGCGGGGGAAGTTGGGCGGGGGGCTGCCGCATGACGATCGAATGATTCAATTAGGGGCAAAAAATCTAAGGGGAAGTTTTAGATTTTTTACCTCCTCGCTGGTTATTTAGATTTCTTGCCCCTAGTTGAATCATCAGTTTTTCGATCATCATGGGGGGGGCTGCCGCCCCCCAAACCCCCCGCTACTTGTTAAATTGTTTACCCCTAATTGAATCATCACTTGTTCGATCACCATGGGGGCCCCCCAACCCCCGCGCTACTTCTCGGATTTTTTGCCCTAGTTGAATCATTATTTTCTTGATCATCATGGTGGGGGGCTGCCACCCTCCCCCCCAACCCCCCCGCTACTTTTAAGATCTGTGGCCCCCAATTGAATCATCACTTGTTCGATCGTCATGGGGGGGAACTCCGCCCCCCCTAACCTACGTTGTTAATTTGTTTGCCTCTAGTCGAATCATCACTCCCGCGACCACCACTGGGCGGGCTGCCCCCCCCCCCCAAGCCCTCCGCTACTTGTTGGACTTTTGGCAGAGATTAAAATGCAACCCTAGTTGAATCACCACGTTTTCGCACATCATGGGGAGGCTGTTTTTACCATCATGGACCCCCTCGCTGCTTTTTAACATACATACATACATAAATACCTACCTACCTTCCCGGAGAGGAACTGGTGATGCTGAGGATGTAGGCACTCGATTTGCTGGTGATGCTGGGGATGTTGGCTGGACATGCGGGGGATGTTGAAAACGATGCTGATGATGTTGACGGGCTAGTGTAAAACACGTACACTTCGTGAGAAAATGCTTTAAAATACAGTATTTGCTAGCCAGTCCGGAAAACAAAAAAAAGTCCCAAAATAAAACACAAAAGCAAATTAAATCTCGACCCTTTTTGTTTGTCTGTTCTTCTTCGTCTCTCCTGCTCTATCTCTCCTACTCTGTTTTTCTATTTCCAAGAACATGAGGAAACCCCGGCCTATACGTCTTTGTCGTGTAAACGCCCAGGCCATCGCAAAAGAGTAACCCCGCAGCTACAGCACGTGTGATGAGACCGTGTCCGTGCGCGTGCACTGCGTGTTCCTTTTGATACACACGTTTCTCAGTAAATGCAGCCCTGAGTGCATTGAGTTTTTTCTTGATGGCTAAAAACGTTTTGTCGATTGCTATTTTTTTGTATTGTTAAAAAAGTTTTTTTTTGATATCCTGAACAGGCTGCGCCCTGCCCTTCCAGCAATTCCGGCCATGCCTATTGCAATTGACCTTGTTACGCAGCCTTCGGATTAAACAACCACCAACACTGCGCACATTCAGCGCTTGTTGACTTTTTCGCCGCATTTGCACAGACACTCGCTTCAGGCCATCTCGCACTTCAGCCGCGACCTCGGCACTTGCTGTGCCCACTTTTCGAAATGGTGCTGCATGTCCTTGGAGCCGCTTAGTGCAACTTCACAGTTGGCACCCTTTCAGCAACGAGGCTTGTACTGCTGCTCCAAATGGGGGCGTTCGAGGGTTCTGGCTTCGCCCTTCTTGCTGCGGGGAGACGGATTTGGCTGCGCTCACTTTGGATACAAAGTGCCTCAAGTTCGGCAATGAGAACAAGGTGATCAGTTTACACCTGTCTGTGCAGAAGAATGACCCAATGGCAAAGGGCGCTTGGCGTTCGCTGGCCTGCAGCTGCAAAGAAGGTGACACATGACCTGGTCCAGTCCCAGCTGTCCGGCGCAGGGTTTGCTTCGCTGGACGAGGTGCCTTGTCTGCAGGTGCCATGAGTGGGACAGCAGGAGGACTTACTCTTTGTGGAAAAGTGCGACGTTGTCTCTGAGCTGCAGCGCCATGTCCGGATTCTGAAGGACGCTTCGCCAAGGATTTGGCATGAAAAGGTATACCTTTTGAAGCAATACAATGGATGGCACGTCACTTATCTGGTGCCACATGGACGTATGTGGAAGAAGCGTGGGAAGAAGCTCCAAGACAGGATGTTTCATCCCTCTGACATGGCAGAGAAGACTTGTCATCAGACATCAGAAGTTGATGACGTTTGCAAGCTGTCAAAGCCACAGCGCATTGATTCCTCTGAAGGTTTGCAATCTGCAGTCTCTTCGGCTCCATTCCGTCTGCCCCACAGCTTGTGTTGCTGGAGGCCCCAAGCTATTGGCAACAAAGTGTGGGGGGAGGTGGGCCTTTGCTGCCGGATCTTGCAAGGCCTATTTTGCAGAGGACGCAGCCCCCACAGAGTTTCCTTTGTGTGAGACGTGTAGGTTGCTCGACTAAAAGGATGGTCGCGAATAAGTGGAAGGGTACAGTCTTGGTCTGCAGGGGTCGCTGTTGAATATAGCGTCCTTCTTTGGGCTGAGAAATTACATTTCCTTCATTTGCATTTTGGCATGGACATGCGTTCACTCCATCTTTGAGAAAACCCGCGCCGCGTTCGATGCAAGGGGGCCGATGATGCACTGTGGTTCTTTGTGAGGGAAAGGTTGAACAGGTGCATCAAGAGGCAAGGATTGTTGTTGTTTTGGACTCAACTTGGGCTCCTTGCTTTGCCCTTTAGGAAAGAATCTCTGACTTGACGGGAAGGGTGTAGTCTTGGCCTGCAGGGGTCGCTGTTGAACATAGCGTCCTTCTTTGGGCTGAGAAATTTGAGAAAACCCGTGCCGCGCTCGATGCAAGGGAGGGGGGGGGGGCGCGATGATGCACTGTGGTTCTTTAGCTGCAAAAGCCGTCGCGGATGGCCCAACCTTGCAGCACTCATGGTGTGTGTGTGCGTGTGCTTGCGCTGGCCCCCGGCCCCGCCTGAAGGCGCCTGAAGCTGGTGGCACGCATTTGGCTCTGCCAGGTTCAGGTCATTCACGCCCAGTTCTTTTAGCCGCGCCATGGGGAGTGCGGCGTCGTCCAAGCTGCAGGGCGTGAAGGATGCCAGCGTCTCGGAGCTGAAGGACTCTGTCAAGGACCTTTCGTCTGAGGAGACTTGGCCAAATTGCCGGAGGTTTTGCGCAACTTGGGAGGTCCAACACACCTTTCTTCCCTTTTGCATGTCTCTAGGCCAAGCTATCGTCCCATTTTGTTTTGCTATTCTTCTGCAGCTCACCTTGGATTCTAATGTTTTTGCGAGCCAAGAAACTGCAATGGTGTCCAGTCCAGAGGAGAAAGAGAAAGTTTTGTGTGCCATTTCGCTGCTGGAGCTCGCGGAGCTCGCCGGACGCTACCACGCCAGCGCTTCGAACGGTGACTGGGGAGACTACTCCATCCACGTGACGATTGACAGCGCGGCCATGGCGGTGATCAGGACGAGCGCTTGCTTCTTCAGGGACAGCCCCGCGGAAATCGCCGAGCACAAGGGCCCCTGTTCCTTGTCCGGAGATGTCCTGACCATCGCGTGTCCTGAGGCCAGAGTGGCTTGTTTCGGGTTGGGGGTTGAAGCGAACAGGATCCTTGGCGCGTTTTAACTCAAAGAAAGCTCAGTTTCGCACAGGGAAGTTTGGTTTCAGAGCTTGGGGCTCCATCTTCGAGGGTCCCTTAGCGGGATGATGCGGGGCTCGAACCGGTTCGAGTCTCGGCTTCGGGGCTTCGGGGCTTCGGGATTGACTCGGCGTCAGCCGACAAGAAACCGGCATCGTGCCAACGGCGACGAAGCTGAACAAGACCCTGTTCATGCAGCATCTTGGGCATCTTGGGGGGCATGTCAGAGCTGCTGCCACCAACATCGCTGCAACACTCTCAATTGAACAAGCGCGATTAGCGACGCACACAAACAGAAACACAAACACAAACAGAAACACAAAGCCAAACACAAAGCCAAACACAAGCACACAAGCACAAACACAGCCACAAACAGAACCGTAAACACAAAACACACACGCAATCATTCGCACATACACCCAATCAATCAGGCATGATAGGCAAACACACACAATCACAAACATACAAGCACAACACACACACACAAACACACACACACACAACCCTGAAATGTTGTCTGCCTGGACCTCGAAAGTCTCCTTCTGGGATCACACGAGGGCATCTTAGCTGGTCAGTTGTTTGGTGTCACCCGAATTACCCTCTCTAGAGGACAGTGAGTACTGACCGTGGCTTGTTTGCCAAGCCGCGAATTGTACCTGTGAATCCCTGGATCCCTGGTCATGAATGATTTGTTTCATCGCCTGCTGTACGAATCATGGCCATGTCTTTTAAAGAGAGGACGACACTTTTGGCCGACGCCAAATTGGAGGCAACAACAGGCGTCGGTGTGGCACTCGAGGTCCTTGGGGCGATTGCCGTGAAAGTGGCTATGAGTCGGTAGGATGTTGAGGAAATCGGAAATCCGAAAGGCAGGAAGAAGATGGGATGAGAACTGGGTGTGGCTCAAACTAACCAGGAGGGGCAAACCGCAGGTTTTGGTACCCATACCGATCGGGCAACCCATTTTGGAGAATTCCGGTTTTTTGAATTCGCCACAGACTGAGTGACTGAGTGCAGACTTTCTCACCCGAGCGTGAGGCGCCCATGGTGTTCAAGGTCCGGGAGGGCGCCCTGGCCCTGCTCAAGAAGGACGGCTCCATCGATGAGATCCAAGGTGGCTACGATGGAACTCCCAAGCCCGCCATTCTGAAGAAGAAGTGAGGCCATGAGAAGCGCTTCTCGCGGGAGGCGGCGTTCTCCTAACGGAGTCAACGTTCCTTTCGACGTGATGTCGGGGACTTCCCAAAGTCAGGTTCATTATAAAACACGCAATGTGCGCTTTTGAACAATAGTGTAGCTGGTTTAAAGGATGCCCTGACGAGAGGGAATCTATTCGATCCGTCCGAAGCCTGTACTGTGGTGGGTTTGCGGTCTGTACCGCAGACCGGCTTTCACCTTGATGCTTCTCACTCTTGGATTGCCCTAGACTACAAAGGCTGGAACCCAGAAGATTGTTTGCGCCCCATGCCTCTGAAAGTTGAAGTCTGGGGTAAACCAGGAGTGACATCTGCCAGATGAAAAATCGAGCCGGGCCGATACGCTGCACTATTGCATTTGCCAAATCATTTTCCTTGGGACATTGGGCTTGGTTTATTCTCTTCGTAGGTCTTGACAACGCACAAGTGGCGGCACACTTTTGGTTCTGTGGCAACAATTGCTGAGAATGCGCTCCAGAAGTACATCTGTACAACATGTGTTAATACATCTTGCTTGGCAGTGTTTGACCTACACTTTTTAAGATGCCCGTTTGACCAGCCAATGCTACACGTAAGTTCGGCGCAAGCTGCCAGACATTTGAATCCAATGCAGTGCCGGCACAAAAGCATGTGGTTTAGTTTGGGGAAAACAAGTTGAACAAGTGCAATACTTGAAAACCTGCGAACAAATCAAAAGCAGACATGATGCAGAGGTAGATATCCCGCATGGTCGACACACAACAATGTTGATGCCTGCTCAATGTCGATGCGACCGAAGGATGTTCGCGCATGGATGGCGCGTCGGGCTTCGTCACCGCCGCAGCCTTGACCAAGCGCCTGGTGAGGTTGGGCAGCTTGCTCGCAAGTTCTTCGAGGTCTGCTTGCTTTCCCTGGCCGATGTGAAGTTGTGCACAGTTCATGGTTAGTTCATGGTTGAAGCAACGTTGCACTCCTGAAGCGTGCATTTTTCGATCGCCGCTGAGGTAGCTCTGGCCGATGGAGGCAAGCACTAAAGGACAGGTTTGGGTGCAGGTCACATAATGAGCTATTTTCGAGAAGCAAGTCACTCCCAATTGCGTTGCAGCAGAAAAAAATGCATCCCAGCTTCTTTAGTTTGTTCTTGCGGAATCAAGGAAACAATGTGTCGCGCTTGTGCAAGAACAGAGTCATGTGTTTGGCGCAAAGTACGCCATGAAATGAATGCTGCTGTTGCGCAGCATTCGGCACGCCCAGCTAGTCCATCGCCATGTCGTCCGGTGTTATGATCCATTATTACCAGATGACTAGATCGTGTTGAACTGTTGTGTTGCGTTTAGGTTATGTTATTCACACATCGCTAGCGGATCCTTTTGTGATATTGGTGTAGTTTCACCGCGTATGCAATCGTGGTTGGTGCTCTGTTTGCTGTTTCCTCTCCGTTGTGTTCTGTGAGCAAATGGGCCTCGGGAAATTCTTCAAGCATGGTTCTGGGTCCCGA